GATTCTACTCGAGAAATTCAACACACACACGCGCGAAGCAGACATCCGCGAATTTCTTGTGATAGAATGTGTATAACATGGCATTAGTGATATTTTTTCAACTATCTTCAAACATCCAAGACACATACTATTAATATCGTTTGAACTACAATTACTAGTCGATTTTTTTTATCCCATTGTATAATGACATGTTGTACCAATGCTGTTTTAATGATGGAATAGTGATTAATGTATTAAAATGTTATAATAACAATTACGATATCGAGAAAGACAACGACACGCACACGGCAGCAGGCGCTGGCACCAACTGCCATGTCCGGAGACCGACTCCATTGAACATTCAACCACCACACCGTATTTCTAATGCAAATATGTTCTCGTTTAGATGCGAATTACTAACTGCACAATGAACCATCAATACAAAACCAACAGGGTTTTTGGGTGCCATATATGCAGAAGCTAAATGGGGCTACTTAATGGATATATCCAGTGCAACCGTTGGGATGCGCGCGCGCGCGTGTGATGTTGTCGTGTGTGTGTGTGTGTGTGTGTGTGTGTGTGTGTGTGTGTGTGTGTGTGTGTGTGTGTGTGTGCGCGCGTGTGTGTGTCTATAACCAGATATCTCTCACTATATAACGCCTGTAATGAACGCATAATATTATCAGATAAGTAGATAATAGGGAATCCACTTATGTTATCTACTTCTGATATTATGTATGTGTTTATTCGGACAGGCATCATCACAAATACTTCCGCGTATATTGTATGCAGCAGATTTCGCTTACACACAGATTCTAACACGGCAGGCTTACGAGAGGCATGATGACGAGTTGACAGACTCCGCCTATCGCTGGTGCGATCGGTCTCTTCAGTATCTTTTTCACTACGGGAATCTCTATTGTCGCCCCGAAGCCCACCGTGTTGAGGATGATGACGATGGTGACGATGATGCCGAATGCCTTGTCGATGAAGCGAGGTTTGCGTATAACACTCAGTCGGTACCCTCCATGAGAGTAATGTATCGCGTCCGATTCGGAACTATAAACGTGAAACGACAGCGACGTTATTCCGAGGAATTTGGCCAGCACTGTGAAGTTTCCGTACGTCGTGCCAGTGCAGGCGACGGGCGTCTGTACGTTTTCTATCACATCGCCGACGAATCGGTCGTTGCAGGTCACGTCCAACCAACAGTCTTGCGAGAAACCCATCGACGTGGACAACGTCAGGTTGTAGTCCACAGTAATAGTCTGCGCCTCGATCAACTGTTCGATCGAATCCTGGGAGAACTCGAGCATGTTTGACAGCGTCTCGTTGGCATCTTCGACTGACTGTCTCCGAGCCACGACCACCACACACAGCGCAACCGCCACCACGCACGAATCGAACACGTGTAACTTCGCCATGTATCTTCTCTAGCGCATAATCGGTCTGGTACGGATACTCGTTAATAATCAAGAGCTGATAGGCTTATATGGTCATAAGCGGTTATGTCTATATATCCTCACACGAAGCGAGAGTTGCGACTGAGTTTCCGCTTGCCGCAGCGACGTGTCCCTGGCTACTTCTGCACCTAGACTACGGCGAAAACCCAGTCGAGCATGCACGCCGCCGCTTTCTATTTGTTCATATCCACTGGAACTAACCGATCGCTAAAATACCAAGCATGCAAACAATAGATGCGGAGGTATAGATTCATTTAGCACGCAGATCTTGTAGAGCGATATATATATATGTATGTTTGTGTGTGTGTGTGTGTGTGTGTGTGTGTGTGTGTGTGTGTGTGTGTGTGTGTGTGTGTGTGTGTGTGTGTGTGTGTGTGTGTGTGTGTGTGTGTGTGTGTGTG